CAAAACACACGGAACATCCAAGGGCACCCTCCCCAGAATGCACAAAGACTTGTCCGTCGGCGGCGAGGCAGAGTTGGATGCACCAGCGATAGAGCTAGACAGGGGGCACCGACAAGCGAATTGGCCAGCATGCAAGAGCGGGAAGAGGGCAGGCAGGCGGCCGCGGGGGGGGGGAGCAGAAAAGGCCACTCAGGAACAGACGAATCCGCACCAGAACGTGCTGGCGTGGCCAGCCCGGCCAGCGGGAACCATGGCAGTCCGGCCGGGAGGAGGAGGAGGAGATGTGAGGAGTAGATGAGGGAGAGGAGGTCGAGGAGGAGGAGGAGGGGAGGAGGAGGAGGGGGTAGATTCGCAAAGCCGTTGCGGCGCCGGGTCACGATTCCGCGCTGCGCGCCACGTCGCGCGGTCGCTCTGGACGTCGGCGAATGCCCGCCCGCGTCCTCGATAGCATGGCCCCAAATCTACCGGTCTCCCCCTCCTCCTCCTCCTCCTCCTCCTCCTCCCCTCCTCCGCCTCCTTCTCCTCCCTCTCCTCCTCCTCCTCCTCCTCCTCCTCCTCCCATTCCTAGCCCTTTCGATCAGGGTCGGCGGCACCGGCCGTCAGGCCTCTCCAATCGACAATCTCCCCTACGTAATACTCACAAGGATGGATGGCGGTTCCCTTTCGATGTGGCCATGTGGCACTCGTCTCTCAAGCGGGCGATGCTCGTGGCGGTCGGAGCCCGTGTGGGGACTCAGGCATGAGCAGGGGAGCTGGGACGGGAGAGCACGTTGCAGCATTGCAGACACGTCCTGGCTACACTCTGGTCCTCCTCCTCCGCCCTCCAATATACTCCCCTCCTCCTCCTCCTCCTCCTCCTCCTCCTCCTCCTCCTCCTCCTCCTCCTCCTCCTCCTCCCCCGCCTCCTCGATCCCTCTTCCTGATAAATACCTCCTCCCTGCCGCGCCCCCAGACGGGTCGGTGTGTGGGGGGGGCAAGTCGCTCCGCCTGTGAACCACTTACCATGTATGATCCTGAAGTTCAATACGTATACCAATTTCAAAGATGGAGGGCGGGTGGCTTTCAAAATGTGACCCTTGCATTAGCGGGCACATTCGTCTTAAACGTTTGCAGCAGCTTCAGGTGGAGGGCAGCTGGTTTTCAAAATGTGTATCTCGCCTTAGCGCCGGGCACCGTCGTCATTCCAGTCTGCAACAGCTTATATGATGGATTGCGGCTGCTTTTCAACATGTGACTCTCGCCTTCGCGCCGCGCACGTCCGTCTTTATATATTACAACAGTTTCAAAGACTCGTATGGTTGGAATCCCAAGAACATTGTTCTGGCACGACTTAGGAGCGTCAGGACCAAACGGTCGCGTTGATTCGCGTTGTTGAAGCCCCAGGACCGGTGTCATGACATGAATTAGGACAGTCAGGACGCAACAGCCACATAGATTTGTGGCGTTGAGCTCCAAGAGTTGCTGGAACGCTTGAGGAATCTCAGACATTTGTCTTCCAGCGGGGAAATTCCCGCGGTGAAACTAAATCTTCGTACGAACCTACGAAGAGAAAACATAGAGAGAGAGTTTATGGCGATATCGTTGAGGCGTCTTGGACTTACACTGGTCCTCCTTCTCCTCCTCTTCCTCCTCGCCCATCCTCCTCCTCCTCTTCCTCCTCCTCCTCCTCCCTCCCTTTCCTCTGCGCAATTGTAGGGAGGGAGGGGGGGTACAAAAAAGATGTCGTTCCTTACTCAGCGACCCTTCTGCAGGCGGCGGGGCCAAGGCCGAAATGAGAGGGTGCGGGTCTTCTCAGAAGGCGGCGGGGCTTCGGAGAACGCTTGGACAATCTCTCTCAGAAGGACAAAGGCTTTTCCGAGCCTTCCGAGGATGTCCGCCCCTGTGCTGGTGGCTTTCGAGCCACAGCTCGGGTCCCCGACAACGTTTTTGGACGATCTGGGCACCCCCGGAACGCTCCCGGCGAGGCGCAGCTGATAGGGGAGCACCCCGAGGCCGGAGGCGGGGGGCCATGGGTGAGGGGCAAGGATAGGGGGGGACTGGCATAGGGGGGGGATGCATCGGCCTGGGATCGGCGATACATCGCCGATAGATCGGCGATAGGCCTCCGATAGTGAATCCAGACCTTCCTGGGCAGGTTGGGGCCATCGGGCCCCCATCGACGGTCAATGGGCGATCGGGGGTCGATGCAGCCCCCCCCTGTGCCTATCCCCCCTGTCGTGGCCCCTGAATGGGGGGCGGGGAGGCTGGCCCGGTGGGTGACGCCCCTGGTGCCCCTCGGCCTCGTCGGCGCTGTCGTGCGCGTGGTCCGCCAGCTCCAGCTGAGCGGCCGGCGCCGGCGGCGGCGCCCCTGGCTCGGGAGGGATGGGGGGGGGCGGGGGCCGGGGCCGTGCTGCGCGCCTCGCGCTTCACGCCGGGAGGGGCTCGGTCGCAGGGCTGTGCTCGGGCACCCTGGGGGAGCAGGGGGGAAGAGGAGGGAAGGCGAGGAGGAAGAGAGGGAGGGGAAGGGGGAGGGGGAGGGAGGGGGAGGGGAAGGGGGGGGGGAGGGAGGAGGGAGAGGGAGAGGGAGGAGTGGGAGGAGGAGAGGAGGAGGGGAGAGGAGGAGGAGGAGGAGGAGGAGGAGGAGGAATGACTTGTCATCACTGTGGTGTGGACTACCGACCACAAACTGCCCAGTAAACTTCAGCAATGCGTTTACCAATTACCTGTGCTTCAGCAGCAGGTACCAATAATGGATTGGGGTTACTTGCATACATGGGTTGGGGTAGGGTGGAAAAGATAGTAAGGTACCAGAACTGCACATAGACCTGGCGGGCGCCTACTCAATTGTCTACTCTTTTCCATGGCTCGTTTTCCCACTTGGCCCGTTGAACCCGCCATCGCGTTCAAATTTCTGCACTAACGCCACAGGGTAACCTAAGGTCGGTCCAAGGGGAGGAGGAGGAGGAGGAGGAGGAGGAGGAGGAGGAGGAGGAGGAGGAGGAGGAGGAGGAGGAGGAGAGGACGGCGGGAGGAGGAGGAGGAGGAGGAAGGAGAGGAGGGAGGAGGAGGAGGACGGAGGAGGAGGAGGAGGAGGAGGAGGAGGAGGAGGAGAAGAGGAGGGGAGGGAAGGGGAAGGGGGGAGGGGCAGATGGAGAGGGGGAGGGGGAGGGGGGGAGTGGGAGAGGTGGGGGGGGGGAAGAGGGGGAGGAGAAGGAGGACGAGGACGGGGGCAAGAGGGAAACGAGGAGGAGGAGGAGGAGGAGGAGGAGGGTTGTGACGCCCATCCCCCTCGATGTGAATATGACATTTGGAGTAGGCTGCCCTCGGCGCGATCCTCTGGGCCATCGACGCCAACAGCCTGCTCATCAAACTATAAAACTCGCAGGGTCTCTCTTTAAGGGCACTATGGATCGACTGCGCCAGGAAAGTCGAGACAACACGCGCGTGCCCCCTGGACGCCGCCGCCTCGGAACCCCATGACGCCCGAGAGGCCACAAAGGCGGGCACGCCTCCCAGAAGTGCTGGCGACGCACCACGCGACGGCAACGAAGAAACCTAAAAACGGCGACGGCAACGAAGAACACTGAAGGGTAGGCTGCCCCGAAGACACTGGCACGTTTGTAATGCCGAGACCTTCGTGCCCGAACCCAATCTGGTTCTCAAGTCGGCCATACGCAAGAGTGACCCTGGGTAAGGGTGAGCTTTGGTGCGCGGCTTTTGGGGGGCCGCGGGGGGAGCCAAATCTGGGCGCGCAACCAGCTGCTACTGCTTCGTTTTCAACCATCTGGGGGCCCATCTGTGCCCGCACCAAAGGTCACTCCGGCGAAAGGTCACTCTTGCGTCGAGTCGATCAAGGCCACGTGGCCGAAGCCCCTGACCGGCTTTGAAGCGCCTCGCCCCTCCCCCACGGCTCGGCCGCTCACGGTCCTGCGATCGAGCCAACTCGATGCTGCTGATATACAGTAGGCGCGTCGAGCAAGAAATGCTCGTGCCCCCTGATGGCCCAGGGGGCTCACAGAGGCCCTGGGGCACCTCAGTAGGCTCAAAGCTCGACGACACACGTGCCCCTCAATACTCTGCAGCAAGATGTCTGATCGTCTGTGTCCACTGTAGTGTGCCTCGCCAACGCGCGCCGCGGAGCGCCTGAAGAGCCCCACCGCGCGCTAGTGGCCCTGACCTGCCCGAGCCTGGCGATGAATGCCCGCTGCGAGGGCACAAGCCGAAACGCCCAGCGGAAAGAATCTGCCAACAAGGGGGGGCAACGCCCACGCACCCTGGGCCTCGGCGGGCCCTGGAGACGACGACCCTGGTTCTGCTTCCGTTTGCTTTCCCAATTCCGCCGCCGTTCCCGCCATGGCCCCGATTCTGGCGCCGTTGTTGTTCCGTTTCGGTGAGCCATTTCCTGAGCCATTCCATATCCAAGAACTTGTGCCGTTCCCACGGCCCACGAACTCGAACAGTTTCGGGTGGCGGCGAGGGGGGGAGGGGGAGGAGGGGAGGCAGAGAAGGAGAGGGGGCGAGAGGGAGGAGAGGGAGGAGGGGGAGCGGGATGAAGAGGAGGAGGAAAGATGGAGGAGAGAGGGGTACATGAGGGAGAAAAAGTAGGAGGAGGAGGAGAACAAGGAGGAGGAGGGGGGAGAGGAAAAGGAGAGGGAGAAGAGGAGGAGGAAGAGGTTGGCTGGGACTTGGGTATGGAACGCGCCCCTACTCCGATCGGCGGGTTGATCCGTCTGGAACAAACAGCGCAGGTCTAAGAAATGCAAGGCAAACGCGCTGCGACCACAGATGGCTGCATAAGGAGACTGGGTTGTGGCGCCATTTGTTCCTCTCGATTCCACTCGCCCCACGATCACCGATAGATAGATAGATAGATCTATATATATATAGACAGATAGATAGATCGATAGATAGATAGATATATAGAGATAAATAGATATATATAGATATATATATATATAGATAGGTATATATGTATAAAGTATATATATATATATATCGATGTATAGATGTAGCTATAGATGTATGCATATATAAAGATATGTATAGATGCATAGGTGTATATATAGTGAAAGACATACTAGAACCATCGCGCGCGCGCTTCGCGCGCGCTTCGGCTCTAGCTGGGCGAGTGCTGACCGCATTGAGACAACACGACGGCCATGGACAATGAAGTAAACATTGTATGTGTCCTCCTGCCCCTTCCTCATTCCTCCTCCTCCGCTCTCATCGACCAGTCAACCGGTGATGTGTCGCCAAGCTACGGGCCAGGGAAAATGCAGCGCTACAGCGCCATGCTGCACTATGCGATGGAGTGCCATGTTACATCATGCTACGCTATGAAGCGCAATGCCACTACGCAGTACGCAATGCAATAACATGATCTACTCTAGAGGGCGCATTGCATGACATGCCATGCTGTGCTGCGAAGTGCGATGGTAATATATAGGATAATGCGCTGAACCATATCGTGCTATGTGTTCTATGAAGAGAGCTGCTGCCGCGTTACATGGCATGCACAGACACGGCATACCGTGCTACACAATGCAATGACATGCAATGCAATACAATAATATGCCATGTTATGAGCTGCTAGGCTACGCTAAACAGGACGGCAGTAAGAGAAACAACAGGGTGTGATGTTTGCATGGTTTCTGATTACTGTTGCGCAGAACAGTGCGGTGTTGTTCGATTAATGTACGTGCATTGGAATCGAACACCAAGACGTGTCATGAGATATAACGCCATGCTACACAATGTTACGTCGTGACGTGCGGTGCGAGACTCAGCTAGACATTGCTATGGAATGCGATGCTACAGCATGGCGAACCAGACTGCAATATGCACTGACACGGTCAGCTTTGTCGTGCTGTACCGTGCCATGTCATGTCATGCGACGCTGCGATGCCACGATAGGCTAGGTGGCCCGTTGCTATGCACTGGTATGTTTGGGAGGCCTCTTGCCACGACCGGCTAGGCGGTCCTCTGCTATGCACTGGCATGTGTGGGAGGCCTCTTGGGGGCTGTTTGGGGTGCTCTCGGGGCCTCTTGTCGGCTAGGGGGCCTCTGGGGGGCATCATGGGCTCTGTTGGAGCCCTCTCGGGGCCTCCTGAAGGCCTCTCGGGGCAGACGGCTCGAATTGTCGGTTCGTGTTCCCCCTCTTGGGCCCCTCTTGGGGCCCTCTTGCGCCGTCGCGGCGCCCTCTTTGGGTGCACCTTGGGCAGTGTTGAGCTGAATTCTGGGGCCTCGCGGGCTGCCTTGGACCGCTGGAATCACAAACCAACGAGAACATGAAAAACCTTCAAGAACCATAGACACAACCAACTTGCTTCGCCTCCTGAAGCCTCGTGGGAATCTGTTTGAGGGCATCTTGGCCGTCTTGAAGCCCTCTTGGGCTACCTTCAAGCCATGTTAGACAAGGTTCGAAGCGCTCTTGAACGGTCTTGGGCTCGCTTGGAGCGCTCTTGGGCCATATTGGCGCCCTCTTGGGCGTCTCTCTGCCCCCTGTGGCGTTGTTGTTGGCGCCGCCTGCTGGGCCCGAAACGGCCGAAGATAAAGCAGTGCACTTCGGAGGGGGCGGGACCCCCTACCCATATGTGTATCTATATATGTATATATACAGTTATGTACATGTATATATCAACATCTGTCTGTTAAATCGGTTTATCTATGTATACTATACGTATATAAATATATCTTGGACGCATGAACCTAGCTCCCAAGGCGGCCAGCAATCAGGGTGGACACAGGGGGAAGAAGGATGAGGAGGAGGAAGAGGGCGAAGAGGAGGAAGGGGAGAAGGAAGAGGAGAGGGAGGAGGAAGGAAGGAAGAAAGGAACGCCGTGACGATGTCACATGGTGAACTAACGCGTACTCTGACCATGTTGAACAGCGAGACGGCAAGAATAAGAACGTGCACGCCCAGGAAGAAAAAGCCTCCACGAAAAACATTGGCTGTCAAACGCCACCTCCCATAAGAGAGCGAATGTGACATATCACGGCTCAACCAAAAATAAAGATTAGCGCAGACAGCACGCAGCGACCATAACTTTGGAAAAGACCTTCACCTTATCGGCCACGCCTCGTGTCTCTCTGTACATTTCCGAACGTGGGGTCAAACTCGTAGGCGTAAAGGGAAATACGATGAGCACATAACAAAAACAACTCAGTTTGAAGCCCACCCTATGCCGAACAACGGACGCCAGGTGATGCCCTCCAGCTTGTGTCGCACATGCCTGCGCTGAAAAGCGAGCCCATTCGTTCATCTAGACACTCTGCACGACGAGCGGAAAAAAACGAACCATGGATAAAAGCACACAGAACCACTATGTGTAGGCCCATTGCAGCACTGAAGCTGAGAACGCGCCGACGGCCGCAGCGCCACTAAGATGCGAGGCCCAACTGGCACGCTAGCCCACTGCAGCATGATAGGTGAGAGTGCACCGAGGGGACCGCGTGTTGCACCGTCCCAGTCAATACTTGCCGGCTGCCACGATGCGCCGTTCTCGCACGTGCTGGCCCAAGCTTTGTTGCGGTTTGCGTGCGGCTCGCGCGGCCCTGCACACTCCCGCCCAGCAGCGGCGTTCCGCGGCTTCTGCCCGCCCTTCTCGCACTTGCAGCTCTGAACGATGCAGCTGATGACAGTCGGCCCAAGCACCGATCCTCCCCTTGCTCTCGGCAACGGCTGGGCAGTCCAAATTTGCTCGCCCTTCTCGCATGCGCCGAGACCAGCACAATAGGAGATGGGGTCAGAATTGCAAGCCCACCACCGAACAAACTCCTGCCACTGCCGCAAAATGACTACAGAGGGTTCCACTCACGATTCACACGCTTCTTCTCGATTTAGCCAACCCGCCAGCCTAGGCTCGCTGGCCTGGGCGGCGCGGGTGCCGTTCAAGCGGAGGAGGAGGAGGATGAGGAGGAGGAGGAGGAGGAGGGGAAAGAGGAGGAGGAGGAGGAGGAGGAGGAGAGGGCGCGGGGGGAAGGGGAAAGATGAGGAGGAGGAGAAGGAGGAGGAGCAGTTTAAACCAAAGACCCATCAACGATATTGCAATAAACCCTCCCTCCAAGTTCCCTCCTCATAGGCCCCGCTGGAAGACAACAGTTTGAAAATCCAAACCTGTGCCAGAACAGCAAGTTGTTGTGGCAAACTTCCCTCGTCAGTTCGCCAATGAACTGACACACTACATTAGACGTTATATTAAGTAGTTGGACTATGTTTGCTGGAAATTGCGACGCGCGCCGCTCACGAACTCAATCGCGACGCCAAGGGTCAAGGGCAATTAACTCGGCCTGAAATGCGGACCTTGCCGTGGATAGAGAAGTCCCGTGGTACCCAATGCGAACATCATTCCTGGGACTTCAACGCCGCGAATCACCGTTACTGCTGCGTCTTGACGATCCTGAATCGCGTCAGGACAATATTTCGGGGACTTCGACATCACGAAAGAACGTAAATGTTGCACCCTGACTGTCCGACCCTGTGCCAAAACACCGTTTGGGGGATGTAACCATGACATTCCTTGAAACGACCGGAAACTCTTACAAACGAATGTGCCCGGCGCTAAGGCGAGGGCCACAGTTTGAAAAGGAGCCGCCCTCCATCGGAGAAGCTGCTACAAACTTTGAAAACTCATGCGAGCGGCGCTAAGGCGAGGGCCACGGTTTGAAAAGGAGCCGCCCTCCATCAGAGAAGCTGCTACAAATTTTGAAAACGAATGCGAGCGGCGCTAAGGCGAGGGCCACAATTTGAAAACCATTCGCCCTCCATCTGTGAAACTGTTGCAAACTTTTAGGACGAATGTGCGCGGCGCTGAGGCGAGAACCACAGCTTGAAAACAACCCGCCCTCCATCCGTGAATATGTTGCAAATTCCATGCTTCAGGATCATATATGGCGAAGAAGTCTCAAGCGAAACGCCCGGCCCGCCCGTTCGACCGGCCTCGGGGTGCGACAGGAAGGAGCCATTCAGCAGGAAAAGGAACGGAGGAGGAGGACGAGGACGAGGAGGAGGAGGAGGAGGAGGGGGAGGAAGAGAAGAGGGAGGAGGAGGAGGAGAAGGATTCAGCTCGGCGCAACGCAACAATGAGTAAGAGGAGGAGGAGGAGGAGGAGGAGGAGGAGGAAGGGAGGAGGAGAGGAGAAGGACTCAGCTGGGCGCAACGCAGCAAGGAGTAAGGGGGGGAGTAAGAGGAGGAGGATGAGGAGGAGGAGGGGAGGAGGAGGAGGAGGAGGGCAGGAGGCACCGAGCAGAGAGCAGAGGGGGCCGACCCCGACGCGGCCGACGCGGCGTGGCACACCGGCGCCGCGGCCGCGGGCGGCCCGAGAGGGCCACGGGGCCGCGCCTGCGGCGGCGTCCGTGCAGGCGGCCACGACGAGGCCCGGCGGCGGAGGGCCTCCGAGCAGAGGGCGGGGAGGGTGCAGTCGGGGCGTTGACCTAAGGAACCCTAAATAAGGAAGGAGGCCCCTTTTCGGGCGGGCACACAAAGGATGCACTTCCTCCTCCTCCTCCTCCTCCTCCTCCTCCTCCTCCTCCTTCTCCTCCTCCTCGCTCCTCCTCCTCCTCCTCCTCCTCCTCCTCCTCCTCCTCCTCCTCCTCCTCTTGACGATTAATAAATGACCGGGGGTCGTGTTCACGCGGCTGCGCCCGGGATGACGATTAGAAAAAACCGGCCGCGGGCTGGCAAACTATTTTTTTATCGTTCTCCTCCAGTCAGGAAATTGCGCAGAAATCGCAGCAAACTATTTCTGTGAATCGTTCTCTCCCATGTTTTTTGTTAATCGTCATCCCTGTCGAAGGCATAAGGAAAGCCCGAGGCAAGCTGCGAAACACTCAAGGAACGCGGAGCCCCTCCGCAACGAAAGGGGTTCCTTCTTCAGCGCCCCGACTGTACGGGAGAGGGCAGGAGGGTGCGGGAGGGGAACTGGGACACACAAATAAATACACAGAAATGGCCATATGCCCTATATTTTCCCGCATGTTCTGGGCTTCGTCTTCCCCCCCCCCCACACTGTCCATACCTTCC